GGTTCTGGGGTCAAGAGAGTGGGAGAACTGACTCTGTCCCTTGCCTGCTGCACTACTTTGGAGAGGAGGTCCTGCATCTCGCCTGGCAACACAGTAAAGATGGTCCTGGTGGTATGGGTGTGGATGAACCAGCCCTGAGGGCATGCAAGTAGGAGAGCTGGCTATGCACCTTGATGGAAGTAGCATTGAATGGGCCAGCCAGGACAGAGCAGCAGAGCTCACTCTGATGTGGTTGTGGGAGAGCTGGCAGCCTAACCAGCTCAGATAATGCTCAGGCCCAGATCCAGGGCATTGAATTGGCTCACCGCATCTTTCACACCAATGAACTATATTAAGGGGCTGGTCCTACTGATACAGAACTACTGAAACTCCATGACACTTTTCAGTGACAGGATATCCAAGAAGAGCCCCAATGAGAATCCAGTATTGATAGAGCAGCAGAAGCCAGAGGCCTTGTACCAGACCAATGACTCATTGCAATGTATATTTGCAAGGAAAGAAGTGGACGAAAGGGTAGACTGTGGGACACACTATGGTATCCACGAAGAAATTTTTTTCTGTTGAGGGGAAGGTTACAAGGACACATGGTGTTTATGAGGGACCTAGGAGATGTGTGAGATTTGGGTTCATGATGTGAAATTCACAAAGAACCAATACAAAGTTTTTAAGAACTGTGTAAGGTAGCAGGAAGTTACTTTAAAAGGGAGTGGGGGATGAATAGATGGTGGAGGTAACCAGGCAACTAGCTTTGAAGGTGAATCACAGAGCATGGGGAAGAGCAAGCGGAATCCCAAAACTACACTAATCCCACAGGACCAGGATGCAGGGTTGCATTACTCATAAAGGCATCTAGAACAGCAGTATTTCAACCAAGGATGTGTTTTATTTTTCTCCTAATCAGCATTGACTAGGCTCAATGAAAAGTCAAATAAACAATCAAATTGAAATTCAAATTGAAGACAATACACAGCCATGATGTTGAAGCCAACTGCAAATAGATGTTCATTATATAAGATTCAGTTGAATGACACTTTAATTTAGACACAACACACCCATGCAAGTTAGAAGCTGCTGTGATATCTTTTTGTGTCATATGGATCCTGATGGTTGTGATTAGCCAAATTATTCTGTTTGCAACAGCAACAAGACTATTACCGAAGTATAAAGATGTGTCTATCCACATAGCTAGTATGTCTAATTTTATTACTCTCTATATGCATAATACCCTGAACATTTTAAAATATTGACTTATCTATGTGTCATTGCAACTCTATCAGGTAGTTTTACTATTATAAATTGACCATTGTATTAGCCTTAATTTATAGATCACAAGAGTAAGAAGAAGAGAAATTATTGTCTATAGTTATCTTTTCTATCTAGCATGTAGACAAACACATGCAGGTGCTGGTTTTGCTCCATGGCTAGTTTGGAGATAACATTTTCAAGAAATATTATAACAGAAAGGCGGGTGGGTGGATTCATGTAGGAACTGTGTACATATTGGGAAATGCCCCAGGATAGCAGGCAGCAACTCATAACTTTAAATACTTGGAACCAAATCCAGCATTATACATAGGGTTAAAAAGAAGGACCAGAGTCCCAAGATGCAGAAAAGGGGGAATTTAATAGAAAAAAAATATCTTGGAGAGTGTGACATCTCCAAGAGGAATATTGAGTGACTTAGGTGGTTTGGTACTATCCCAGGTAATGTAAGTGGCTCAGGATGATTTCAGTAAATTGGTGCACATGGAAAACAGTACTTATTTTGTCAGAACACTGTAAAGAAATGACAGAATTAGAAAGCACATTTTAGTGAGTAGAATATAAGTGGAATGGTGAATGGAAAATAGAAGGGAGAAGTGAATGGAATGCCCTGATTTTCCTACTGAGCACATAGGGATATTTGGATAATACGTTTAGAAAGGACTTGTCAGTTTGTTTCAAAAGAAAGTTGGGACTGAGTGGATTCGAACATACCATTTCAATTATGTCCATGAGTTTAGAAACAAAAAGAAACAGAAAGTATAGGGAAAAAAAAGCAAACAAACAAAAAGCCAAACGTTATATAGAAAAGAGAGAGTTGGTTTTGGAGAAGAGTTAAAAAATAAGTAACTTATTATTAAAATCATGTCCTGAGTGTACTCATAGAAATATAAAGAGATATGGATGAATCATCTCTTATTAAATTTGTAGCCATTAACATGCATGCCTTTTCTAGTTAGGTGTATAGTGCAAATTTCAAAGAAATCCTAATATCTATATTTACTTATTTTTTTTAAATCTAAATCTGTTAAGTAGTCCATTGTTGTTGTGTAGATGATGCAACTGAGTCCTAGTTGACCTGCATAAGGCCAGGAATATGGATAGACAGGTCCAGAAAGGTCCTTCCACAACAGTGGTCCCTGTCCTTGATACAACTCATGTGAACAGTGTTGCTGGAGTGTACTCATTAAAGCCTTTGCCACCCGGTAGTATGTTTTTCTCAAACAAAATGACTATGCTCAACAGAATACAGCCTGACACAAGACAGAGTTTGTTTGCATCCTCTTTCCACAGAATTACCTCTTTCTCCCCTTGAATGTGATAAATAGAAGAATTTAAACATATGTTAAATAAATGAAGCCAATGCACCAGAATGCCTTTTAAGTCACGGAATGTAAAACATGTGCTAAAATATAATAGTAAAAAACCTACTGTCTTAATAGTTACTTAAAATTATAATTAAGGGGTATGGGATATAGCTACAAAATTGATTCTGTGAAACAAAGGTGATTACCAAATTCAGGACTTAAATCAGCTATAGCTACTCAAGGAGGATTTTAAAATTTTGCAAATGTATGCTTCCCTTAATAAAAATATTCCAGCATCTGTTTCATATCAGAGATGAATAAAATATGTCCACATGAACAGAATACATTGGCCTTTTCTTTTGTGCTTAATTGTTTTAAAAGATCATCTAGAGGAAAAAAAAACCCATTTCAAAATCTCTTTTTGTTTTTGTTACAATTAAAACTCTCCTCAGTTGTTGGCTGGTGGATCAGATCTGTACATCAGTAACTTTTAACATCTCTGAAATTGGGGAGTAAGAGGAAAACTTACCTTGACTATTGAAAATCATTTTTTGGACTTAAAAGAAAAATTTTTCTTGCTGAGCATCATAGGTGACAAGGTACTGGAATTGTTGCATGGGTTCAAATTGGAGCAAAGAGTGCACACATCTTACAAAGGACTCTAAAAATCCGACAGCAAAGACTGGGTCAATCCGTTACTGTGAGCAGCAGTGACCAATAGGAAAGGCAGGAGACGATCCAAGAGGGCTGAGGTAAGCCATCCTGAAGCCTGTCCGAGTGGAAACAATACATCAAAAGATCTTCATGGTGACTAGTCACCATACTTTTTATTTTTTTCTGATTGGAGATTTAATAGCATAAAGTCAAAACATTTTTTTTCTTTCTTTTATCCCACATCAACTTATTTTAGGTAACCTAAGACCAGCCACAGGACTCAACGGTGTATTCCTGGAAAGCAAGGTAAACTATTTTGTACATTTTACAACTTTTGGTTTGGAATTTAGAGTTCTGATTCAAAAGATCCAAGGTTACAATTTCAATAGTTAATATAAAAAATGCATGACTTTACTTTGAAAAAAATTAACTTGTCTTTGTTGGAAGCAGTCCAGAGAAGCATTCTGCACTCACAGGAAGTATGACAGCTTGCAGAAGCAGAACTGAACTTTAATGGGGGGAAGGAAAGACCAACATTAATGAGTGATTTTATCTTCATGCCCCTAGCAATCAGTGAAATGTATTTGTGCTTATTATTAGTTGATGTAGCTAAATGAACATTGAAGAGACTGAAACTTTTATATATGTATGTGTAACATATATATCATAAGAGTGTGTTTAAAATATTTACTGTATATATTATTTTTCTCTGACAGTAGTTCTTTGTGACTATTATATCTGGTGCTATTCAATGGGGAAAGCGTCTATCTTGTAAAAGTATCCTACACAAGAATGTATTAAACTAATCTTTGTTACTATCTATATCCAACATATAAATATAGGGAAATTTCTGATCTATGTTCTAAATATTTTTATTCTTTCTTATTCTGATTAATTATACAATATTTGAATAAACATATACCAAGATTACTTAAGTGATATGTTAGCTTTATATAAAATTTCTGCCACATATAGGCATGAGCATATATGTGCATTTGTACAAAATGGAAATTGTCAATATGAAGGAGATTTTAAGAATTAAATAGGAGATAACAGTTATGTGAGAGAATTCATAATTCCACTGCTTGGCTGCACATCTCAATTATGATACTGTACTTACAGTTATACAACTCTTTCCCAAAAGAAAAACTTACCTGAAAAGTTCAGAACCAGAGATGAGTCACACACTTTTCTTCAGATCCTAGACCCTTCCTTCACAACCAGAGATGAGTCACACACTTTTCTTCAGATCCTAGACCCTTCCTTCACTATAACTTTCTAAGTTGTCCTTTGATCTCTACATTTCTTTCGCCCAAGGGCCAAAGAACCTGGAAAATATCCTCCAGATGTTGGCTCATTTAAGGGTAAAAATAAAAGCACATGTAGATGCCCATCTCTGAGGAATAGCACAGAATTGCCACTTCGTTTATTAGATCACATTTTGTTCTTTTATATTCACTACTGGCTTCGGTGAAGTTTCTTGAATTAATAACGTGAAATGGAAAAGCACTTAAAGTTGCTGAACTTTGCTTTCCATTTCTCAGCTTTCGCTATGACTCAGTTCAACCCAGATTGCTCAGTGGCTGTGAACTTCTTTCAATGTCTGTAAAGTGCTTTTCCTATGGTGTATGCTCAATAAACGTGACTTTGTTGCTATGCATGGATAAGAAATTGATACTCTAATGATGAAACAATGAATATCGATTTGATGCATGCCAGTGTTTAAAGTTTAGTGGACTATCAGTCACGTGTTTTGCTTACTCCACAGGCGCTGCAATGGCAACCCCAAACTGTTTGCTACTCTGGGTGTTACTCATAGCAGATACTGTGTGGACACAGAGTGTGAGACAGGCCTACGAAGTACAGGACCCAGAGGATTGGGATGTCCAGGATGACTTCTATTGTCCCAGAGAATGCTTCTGTCCACCTAGTTTCCCTACTGCCTTATACTGTGAGAATAGAGGTCTCACAAAAATCCCTCCTATTCCTTCAAGGATCTGGTACCTCTACCTGGAAAACAACCAGATTGAATCAATACCAGAGAAGCCATTTGAGAATGCCACCCAGCTGAGATGGATCAATTTAAACAAGAACAAAATAACCAACTACGGGATTGAGAAGGGGGCCCTAAGCCAGCTAAAGAAGCTCCTTTTCCTGTTTCTAGAAGATAATGAGCTAGAGGAGGTACCTTCTCCATTGCCAAGAAGTTTGGAACAATTACAATTAGCTAGAAACAAAGTATCCAGGATCCCTCAGGGGACCTTCAGTAATCTGGAAAACCTGACCCTCCTTGACCTACAGCATAACAAACTGTTAGACAATGCCTTTCAAAGAGACACCTTCAAGGGGCTTAAGAATCTCATGCAGCTAAATATGGCCAAGAATGCCCTAAGGAACATGCCCCCAAGATTACCAGCCAACACCATGCAACTCTTTCTGGACAACAATTCCATCGAAGGAATACCAGAAAATTATTTCAATGTGATTCCTAAAGTGGCCTTCCTGCGGCTCAACCACAATAAACTGTCTGATGCAGGTCTCCCGTCGAGGGGTTTTGATGTCTCATCTATTCTAGATCTTCAACTGTCTCACAATCAGCTCACAAACTTCCCTCGAATCAATGCTAATCTGCAGCACCTCCACCTCGATCACAACAAAATTAAAAGTAAGTAGCAGTAAAGAGGTGCCCGTGACCAAAATGTCCACCATTCTGTCTAGTCTCTGCCCCTTGTAGGAACAGCAGCTGGTGTTGTCCCCTACCAACAACTAACAGGCTGATCTAACTGACCAATTATTTTCAGTTTTCATTACACAACTTTCTTGATATAGTTTTTTAAAAAATCAAGATGCCCAAATCTTCAAGATGGGGGTTGAGAACTGGGCATTAGTAATCTACACAAGGCTTGTTTGTAGGGGAGATAATAAACAGAACTATTTTTTTTTCCCTGTGGGATTCTGATATTTCTCCCTCTATGGATAGATATCGCTTATGTCTCAGTATGTCCTCCAGGATGGCCATGAATACAAGAGGTTTGTGCCGACATGCCTGGCAATTTGTAGGGGGAAAGTGGGTTGAAGAAAGTACCTAAGGCACCAACAAGTTCAAGAGCAATATGTAGAATAGGATTTAAGGGATTGCAGAAGAGTTGATGCTTGCATTTCCATAATTATCACCACCAATCTAATATCCCCAGCTAAAGTGTACATTATGGTACCCACCTCCGAGTTTTTGAGTAACAAGCTCTTGGGTAGGACCAGAGATTCTCATTCTCACCAGCTTCCCAGGTGCTGGTCTTGATGCTCTGGGAATCACACATAGAGAACTGTTATCATTGCTCAAAGCTGTACTCACTTGGAATGGAACCCAGTGCCTTGAGAGCTGTCAATCAGTGAGACTTAGTGATATATCCTCAATGAAGAAAATGCTACTCCTTCTTGAAAAGAGCTTCAGATATGGAGTACAGAGTGGATTATGTTGAAGTCTATTGAAGCAAAGATGTTATTGAGATATGAAGTGGTTGCACAAAGTTCATTCTTGGAAACATTTGAGATGAACTTGACCTGTTCATAGTTATGGCAGGCTGTCCCTGGTGGTGGAACTGAGTGGTTTCTATGTTCCATGCATAGGGTTACTAGGACACAGCATAGAATTCTTCTTAAGTCTCAGCAGAAGCCTTTTGGGAGGGCAATTCCTTCTGGAAAGCTTTTTAAAATGCAGTCTTGAAACAGGAATTGATGAAAATGGCTTATAGAAAGTAAATCAGGCAAATGCCATAGAGTTATGCTTTCTAGTTCTTGTTCATTAAAGTTTCACTAAGCATATGATCATATAAGCATGCCATTATAGGATTGGACCCCCTTTCCCCTGGGAACGGCTTTGATTTTTGTTTACCTTATTGATGCCATGTACTTGAGCCTGAAATCCTGGAACTAAATAGCATGCTAACCACGGCAGTTATTTTCCTCCCTGTGGTGAGAAAATGTACTGCTTGATACTCCAGGTAGAAGGAAAACTTGTTAGATGAGCATGCTTAACAGAGTCAAACATCATAATACCAAAGGAGGATCTGGAGTTTTTGAGTTTTCCCTGGAGAGGTCTATGCTTCTGCAGGTGCACTATATCTTCAATAGAGGCCCGCCGACCACTAGAATAGAAAGTTGACTTCAAGTGACTCTACAGAGATATTTGCAGGTGAGTCGTACATGCTGGGAACTTGAGGCCCAGTGTTCAGGAGTGAGGTAGCAGCACTGAAAGAAACATGGAGAAGTAAAGCACTGTATTCTCCACTGAAATTTTGCAGAGCATTTTCAAAGGCTGTGTTCCTACAGTCCCTATTTTAATAATTCTTATACATTAGCATAGTTTGCAGTCAAGTGATTTTGAGAAAGGTTGTAGTGATTCCCCCAACCTGGGTATTTATAACCAGCAGCTCTGAAGGGACGGGGGGACTAAGAATTCAGACCTGTAATAGTACTCTTGCTTCTTCTCCATGGTTAGAGGAACACAGAACCTTCCAAGAGCCTGTGTGACACTGTCGGGATGTTCAAAGAGGAAACTGAAGGTCAAGTGGGTGACAGTAGCTGTTTAAAGAGTTACAGAGTAAATTCAGGGCCAAGAGCAGAGGCTTTAGCTTCTTACTTTAACCAAAAATAAAGTTATAACCCCCCATTTAACAAATGAATCCTAGTTTTATTTGTCAAAGAAATAAATGCAGAGTAAGGATCCATTTTCTTTTCCTTTTTCATTTTCTTTCTTTCTTTCTTTCTTTCTTTCTTTCTTTCTTTCTTTCTTTCCTTCTTTCATTCCTTCCTTCCTCCCTCCATTCCTCCCTCTTTCCCTCCATCTGTCCTTCCCATAATCCATCCCCCCCCCCTCCCGCCCTCCCTCCCTCCCTCCTTTCCTTCATTTCCTTCCTTCCATCCTTACTTTCTTTTTATGTTAACCATTTTTTTCTTCAGTTTACATCCCAATCCCTGTTCCTGATCCTGATCCTCACCCCCGACAGTCCCTCCTCTCATCCTCCCTTCGCTTCTTCTCTGAGAGAGAATAGCCACCCTACCCCACCCCAGAAAACTGTTTCTCCCCTTTTGCTGGCACATCAAGTCTCTGTAGGGCCAAGCACTTCTCCAACTGAGACTAGACAAAATGGGTTAGGGGAACCGTTTACACAGACAGACAACAACTTTAGAGATAGTCCTGCTCTAGTTGTTTGGGACCCACATGGAGACCAAGCTGCACATCTTAGAATAACTGGACTGTAACTTTATGGATCACATTGTTTTATAATAATTGTTAATGTACATACATTTTCTTGCCACATAGTCTAATTGTTAGAAAATATGTTTTCGAGAAACAAAACTTTTATATGAAGAACCCATTGAGTTTTCCAGTGAGCTTTTCTTCTGTGATTTTTGGGAAAAACCAGGTTTTCTTCAGAACATGATAAGCGACCTGAAATTTTATGCAAAATATGTATATGCTTCAAATAATTCGCTTGTCCTCATTCTCTGAGAAAAATCCTAACATATGGAAAATGATTAAATTCAGAACTCTTGTTTCTCATATTCAAATTATTTGTATAATGGGAATTATTTGTATTATTTGTATTATTTGCTCTAATGGGGAAAGGGACAAGGGACTGATGTTTTAGATCATCTTCTCCAATATTCTCTGAGTTTTGTAGTTCAGAGGGTTGGCATAAAGACATTCCAGTCTGGAGAAGACTCTGAATATGTAAAGTTCCATACTAAAATGCAGCAGAGCATAGCACGAGGGGACGGCAGCTGTTACCACACACCCTTTCAGGATTCCTTCAGGAAACAGAGAAGCATAATAACCTATACGACAATGGTTTGTATCTCTACAGATTTCATTACATGGCGTCACCTACCCCCTTAGGACCACTGTAGTATACTGTTGGCCTAGATCTCTAGACTCTCTGGTGTTTCAATTTAATCATTCATATCATCTATGCCTCCATAGATGTGAACATGTCGGTAATATGTCCCACCACACTGCGTGCAGAACAGGATGCCTTCCTTCACGGACCTCAACTGAGCTACCTGCGTCTGGATGGGAATGAGATCAAGCCACCAATCCCAATTGACTTAGTGGCATGCTTCAAGCTTCTTCAGGCTTTCATAATATAAAACAGAACCCAAACTGGTTTAAGAGTGGATGTGTGTGGTATGAGATTTGATTCTCACTTCTAGGTTTAGGTCAGAAACCACACTTGTCATTGTTCTTATCCACTGTTTTCATATGTGCAGATTGTTGTTTCTGTTAAAGGATGCTCTGGTCAGTGATGTACAGGGACCACTTGGATTTCTTTCCTCTGATTAACAAAACAGACACGGAGTTGAAGAAGCTCCTCAACTCAAAGCTATTTTTGTCTCCTTGCAGCTACTAATATCCAATTACTTTATTGTTACACATTCAAAACAATTTACTCGTAAATGACCAAATTTATGTGTGCTGGTAGTGTATACTTCCTATGAGCACAACAATGAGGCAGTAGGAGGAAGACTCTGAAAAATCTGAATAAATGAAACATTCCTCTTGTAATAATTATAATGAACCCGTTAGTCAAAGGCTTCATAAGAAGAGAGATCTAGTTATTAGGATGAAACAATAAAGCAGGAAAGGTTCAAGTCCGTTAGAGCTAAATGATAATGCAGTAGAAATTGGTCTTTCACTCTCTATCTCCAGTACCTGAATCCCTAAATTTTGTAGTTATTATAACACAGTTTGCAAACTATTTGGCTCTTATTTTGATTATAATTTGGGGGCTTTTTCTAAATAAAAAGATTGAATGTTTTCTAACAAAACTGAAGTGTGATGTTTGCTTCAAGGACACTATTCACAACTTTCCTTTAGGAGCATGTTATAATAAGAGAGTGTTATAGTTTCAATTATTTTGCTACCAGGAATACAAACAAATATGTTCTTCTATCTTCCTTTGCTTCCAGTAAGCATACAAAAGTTATATTCTAAGTAAATGATGTAATACACCTGCTTGCGGTCAGTTTTTAAAAACTTAGTACTTCGTTAGTCAGTAAGGCATACTGTAATGTTGCAATGTGGTCCTATGAATTTTTCATATACTATGATAAACATACAATAAGAAAGTTCTATTCATGGATTTCTATATGTTTTCCAAATGATTTTCCTAACAACCCAATATATTTCAACAGAAAAAAAGACCATATACAGTTGTGACACACGAAATGATTTCTAAACTCCAGAATCCTTCAGAAGCTTATCATCTTTGTAGCATGAATTCTCATGAAGAAAACACGATGTGGAGTATTATACATCTATTCTCACACTCAGTTTAGAATTAGAAGCCAAATAAAATATTCTTAAGCCAGGAAATCAAATTAATTGGCATAAAATTTAAAAGTTATTTTAAGGCACGTACAATATAAAAATTATGTCATATAGAATTATGTCCTAAAGCATAGGTTATTAGATATTACCAGAACTGGAAAAACCATAGACAGAGAAAATATAATACCTATAAATATTTGACATATCATGATTTGAAAATATATTTTAGGAAATTCAAAAGGAAAAAAATCATCCAGATAGGGGACATTTATAAGGAATGATATTCTATGTCAAGGCAGGGTCTCTAATAGGACCATCTCCTATTACCCACAGATTGGCTTTCTGCAGTTTCTGTGACTAGTGTTCACAACAGTCTGAAAGTAATAAAAGGAGTGTTCCAAAATTAAAGATTTCATAAGTTTTAAGTTACACATCTTTTTGAGAATGACAATGAGTGCTCTTACTGCCCTGCTGCACCCCAGTCAGGAAAAAAAAAACATCCCTTTCTGTAGTGTTCCCATGCTGTAAACCCGACCCAGGCTTTAGTCACTCAGTAGCCATCTGACTTAAGTGAGCTGTATCACAATATCATGATGTCTGTGGTCAAATACTCTATGCATGAGACACAAGGCTGGCTTGCACCCTTCACTTCACTTCATTTTATGCTGTAGGCATTGCATCATGTCCAGTCATTGTCATAGAAAAGCAATATCAAATAACTTATTACCATAGACTGCTATTATTATTCTCCCTCTTCATTAGTCACTACTGTGAACCTCATTCTTGGGTTAACTTATAAATTCAACTCAGTCCCAGGTATGCATGTGACGAGAGAACACAGCATACTTACTGTTTAGTACTGTCAATGGTTTCAGCTACCCTCTGTGGATCTTCAAATACATCTTACACAGATAATAAGTGAACACTTATATATTCAGAGTTGCCCAATAATTTATCTTGAGGCAGTTAGTACTGATTAAATGGAGACAGGATAATGAAACAAGGGAAAAGATATAAAAGCATTCCCAATCTGCAGACATTTTGTGAAATGTTCCTGCCAGATATTTGAAACTTCCTCTTTTCTTTCCTTTCTTCCTTCTTCCTCCCTCCTTTTCACGATCATTCCCCATCTCTTTTCTTCATTCTCAGTCTCTCCGTTTACTCCCATTCCTCCCTTTCTGGCTCCGATCCAGTATTATCTTCTTGTGTTTGTTTCAAACACTTACTGTGTAGTGTGTGTGCATGTGTGAGTGTGTGTGTGCATGTGTGCATGTATGTGTAGATACTCATGTGTTAGGCTGCATTACATAGGTAAGATCAAGTTTTGTTCAGTTTCTATTATTGTGAATGACACACAGATTAGTGTAATATAAAACCATGAAGAATTTTACTTCTACTTAACAAATGTTTGCATTCTGCAAAGTAATTAGCAATACTAATTTGATGAGAAATTTTTCTAAAGAAATTATGAATAAGGGAACACATAAAGAATGAAAAAAATTAATAACACAAGGTGGGGGATAATATTCCTGCACAAGTTAAAGACTGTGTGGTCCTTGGAAGAATTCTGGAATCAGAGAAGAATCTTAATATGGAAAGAGTTATGCTCAAGAGGTGTAGTATCTTGTAGTGGTGAAGAAGATAAAGGATAAAGCTAAACTCTCTGAGTTCACATTTCAACTTTTTCCACTTTCTCTTGGGCAGAACTTTTTGTTCTTCAGTGTCTACTCACCTCTATAATAGGGAAAAGTAATAACACCCATTTATGATGAGGATTAAGGGAGTATAAACATTGGAAGAGCGTCAACAAGCCCCTGGTACACAGTAAATGCTATGTGATTTGGCACTACTATTGTTACACTCTGAGCAGGGACTGTTTGTGAGCCTGTTGCCTGCCTGCCTGGGGATTCTCACCCCTACAAAGACTACTTTGTCTGGCTTCAGTGGGAGAGTAGACTGCCTTGTCTGACCTCAGTGGTAGACAATGAACTATGTTCAGTAGAGACTTGATGAGTGAGAAGTGGGGGTGGGGTGGTAGTGACACTCAGAGTAGAGTTTCCCCTTCTCAAAAGAGAAGAGGAAGATGGAATAGGGGAGAGGACTTGTATGAGGGAGTACTGGGAAGAGAGGAAAGGCTGATGTGGGGTTGTAAAGTAAATAAATAAGTAAATTTAATTTTAGAAAGAAGATTATTTATTTTAGGCAGCTGGAAAATGCTTTTAGCACATAAATGTAGTTGAATGTAAGAAATAATCTGAATGCGTAGATAGGTGTTGACACTTTCTAGATTTTTGTTAGTATAACCCATGATTTGGTGAGTCACTCTTCATTGAAATATTTACAGTGTTACTGGCTGGGGACAGATGCTAAACATGTAGGGGTTATTCCAAGTAATGGCAAACAAATCCAGGGTAGGCTGAGTAATTTCACTGCCAGAATATAGGTCACATATGCTACTAGATTATATGGTGGTTGTATTTCTGATATCACACACGTGACTACAATGGAAAATATTAAAAGAGTATTAACTAACAAATCACCTTAAATACAATTTTGAAACCAAAAGGTCTTTAAAAATGTGTATTAGTTATGGTTTCCACTGCTGTGATGAGATGCCATGACCAAGGAAACTCTTATAAAGGACAACATTTAATCGAGGTTGGCTTACAGGTTCAGAGGTTCAGTCCATTATCATCAAGGCTGGAAGCATGGCAGCTTCCAGGCAAGCATGATGCTGAAGGAGCTGAGAGTTCTACATCTTGTGTCAAGGCAAATGTGTATATTCAAACCACTACAAAAATGGTCATTTATTTTATAATTTAAAACACAAAATATATCATTGAGCTTTAAGGTCTCCCCCATGTAAGTAACATGAGCTTTGCGCAAGTACGCAAGGAGCAAAGGGCACTAACAAAGAATAAAAAGAAAGATACAATAATAGAATGAAAGTTAATGTAATAATGATGATGGTAAAGAATATAGACTTCTAGGATGGGTGTGTTGGTACATGTCTACCATCCCAGTAAGAGCAAGAGAATCAAAAGAAGCTCAATACTTTAATCATAAAACTGATCTGCTTATTAACCAACTCCTATGCCAGAGCCACTAGAATGATCTATTTAGAAAGAAATATGATATGTTTTTAACTAAGAAAATTCTGAGGGATTTAAAATCTGTGACAGTAACCAGGCTCAAAGATCAACTGTAAGAACAAAAGTTTATCCTAGATTACTCATCTATAAAGGCTAGAGACAGAGGTCAACATAGATATTAATGTCAAAATATCAAAATGTCAGAAATATGGCAGATCAATATATAGGGCCATATTTTAACTTTAAAAGCTCTAAGGGATCCACTGTGTCAGGGAGTAGAAAGATTATCAACCTGTGAGGACTTCTTATTTTTCCAAAATTATTTGTAGCATAGAGATTGTGAAGCTACCAAATTAATGCAAAGAAAAAAAATCAGAGTATTTATGGAACTACAAAGGAGCACCGTACAAAAGAATTAGCAATGTGTCAGAAGTCCTCTGTCTCATTAAGCACGTGGCACAGTGAGTATAAACTGTTTTGGAGAAAATAGATCATATTTCTTTTTTAAAATTGGATATTTTACTTATATACATTTCAAATGTTATCCTCTTTCCTGGTTTCCCCTCTGGAAACCACCTATCCCATCTCCCCTCCCCCTGCTCCTGTGAGTATGCTCCTCCACCCACCCACCCTCCCATTTCTGCTTCTTTCCCCTGGCATTCCTCTAGTGCTGTTTACCACTTCTCTCATCTTTTTCAAATATCTCATTGATTCTAGGCACTGGGTTT